CGCACAAGCAAACACTCGGCCACAGGCCTGAGAATAGATGCCCAACGAACGGTAGCCAACATCCCTACAAGCGGAGTTGAGAAACTTCTTCTTTCTTGTATCTTCTATCTTAGAGGACTCCTTGTTTTATCTGTTGGATCATCTTTTATATTACAACAAGAGGGAGTACACATATAATATCGACGCCATTCATATCTTGTCGTAGATAGATGACACCATCCATATTGGAAAACGGATTTGAAAAAGGTATGTCTACTTGTAACCATATCTATATTGGATATGTTTGTACCCACTAGAGGGTGGTTATGCTACTATGTGCCGTATGGAGGATTGGTGTGCAAAAAAAGTCAGTGTCTAAAGCTGTGTGACAGCTCACGCCACAAACAAAATGAAGCAAGTGCAATCGAGAGGATCGTTGACCTTGCCATATTCAGGTACTGCCGCGAGGATGAAAAGGCATCTTCAGATATTTGTTAGGCACCCACAAGATAGTTTTTTTATTTCACACCTATCAAGACATTTGTATACTTGTAGAAACTTGCCATTTTTTAATTATATATGCAGTTATGCACATGTGCAGCTGCAAAGAAAGTGCTTGTACGTAACATCATCTCTTCATCAGGGGATCTATGCATACACCCATACCCATGTCCATGTGTGAGTTACACTGTAGGAGTGAGTGCAAATGATTGGAACATAGGAGTACTCTGCAACAATTATATCCTAAAATGTACTTCTTAGTCATGACTTGTCTGCTAAAATAGATTCCATGTTAAATTGAACCTACCAAAAAACTATAAATTTCTCTTTTTTTCTCGGTTATAGGCATAAATCATTTTTCTGCTTTTAAAGTGACTTAGATCTTACTTATGTTTAAGTCACTCTACCTTTTTATGGGTAATAAACCTTTTAGGGTAACAAAAAAATTGACGTCAGTAGAAAAAAGCCCTAGAGAAAAAGGTTCCAGCTTAATAAGAATGTTATAGAGGAAACATGCATGTCATTTATCCCGATAGAATAAAAACAAAATTATCATATAAATAAAATTGTTATATCTGGAGGTTGACCGGTCTATACACAAGGGTGCAAAAAGTATCTTGTGCGTAAGCAGGACCAAGATAACTTGTAAGGAGACATGCCCATTTTTATTATAAAATTACTTCAATGGAATGACCATCTTTGATAATAGAATAATCAACATTTTGTGTATTGAACGGTTTTATTTACTATTGTATTTATAAAAATATTGAATTTGTTGTACTAAGAAAACATCTTTTTATGACAAGTAGAGTCTATAAAAAAACTGCAGACTCAAGCTTACTTCAAAGAGGTTGCTTAATGGTTTTAAGGAATGGAAGCGAGCAACTAATCTAAAAAAAAACATATTGAAGGGCCCAAGATGTCACATTGAGTGGGTGAATAGGTGTTCTTTGAAAATTCAAGCACAAAATTGTAACAGACTAGTAATATTTTTTGCAGATTATCTAAGCATTGCATGGATTACCCACACTTATATGGATATTCAAGCAGATTTTCCTCACTCTTATGGATAATCAAACTATCTACACTTTGGCATATATTTAAGCAGATTACCTACACTTTTATGGATATTCAATAAGTACACAACAAACACGAGTGTAAATTACGCCTAGTGAATTCTAGCTGAAACCAACCTTAGAGATGTGGTTCTTTATATTACAATTAGCAATTCCACAAACACACATAACCATGCAAATCGAGTAGAATGAACAAATCAAAACAGGAATTAACCTTAGCCATGGTACCTTGATTGCCAAATCATTGGTTGTCTTCTCCTTAGCTTAAATCATGCAATCCATTTCCTTGCTATCTTCGCCTTATTTTTTTCATCATCAAGTCAATCTTGTCTCGTATCAACAATAAGAAATCACTCGTATTATATTTATATATAATATGGTTTTTGGTTAAATATTTGCTTCTATCAAACAAGCTTCCTTGTTGATTTGTTTGAATTACTAAGTCCTTGTTCATCTTTCTTTTTATTGACTGATAATAACCAAGCAAGCAACCTTCACAATCTCTCTTTGTGTTTCCCATTGCCCTTGATCATCTCTTTCATATTGCTTCTAGCTTGATCAATATCAATGCATTTTCGAAATCCCTTTGTCTATGCGAGCAAGATATCTTTGATACCAAACCATATGAATTTCATATTGCCCCATTTGTCACTTGTATTTTCTTGCATTGCCATTTCTTCAATTATGGACTAACGACTCATCCTTCAATATTGATCAGCAATACCAATGAACATCAACCTTTTTTCATTCATGCAAACAAGCCACCATTGGGTCTAATTAATAGCCATTGTAACCTTGTCCCTTTTGCCTTTTCTGTTTGCTCCCCCTTTCTTCAATTTGAGAAATGACAAGGGTTTGATACTATTAATTGCAATGAAACATCAGCTTGTTCGCTTGGTCGTATTTGGCTTATAAGCCATTGTTTATCAGCCAACGAACAGTATTTTTCTCTCACACCAAACCAGCCAACAGTACTTTCAGCCACGGCTTATAAGCCAAACCAGCCCAAACGGACATGACGCATATCCGAGGCACACCAAACACATTAGTCCTTTAATTGCTCTGCCATTCAACCACCAAAACCTACAAGGAGGTCTAGATGCACTTTCATTACCTCAAGATCAAGTAGAGATTGTCCATTGTTATGTGTCTTATGGAGTTGATTCTATTGGTTGGCTGTAGGTAAAGATCTTTCCATTACCATGTACTACATAAAGTGTTTGTTGGCAGGTGCCACTTGGAGGTCGTTCTATTGGCAAGTGCCATGTATAGATCAATCCATTGGCAAGTGGCTTATGTAGTTTTGTTCTGTCTACGGATCTCACGCGAGGATCATTTTGTCTCTACATGCTATATAGGTTGTCTTACAGTAAGTGTTGCTTGGAGATCGATCTGTCATTCATTGTCCTAGGTGATTGGACGCGTAGATATTCTTGTATTGTTAAGTGTCATGCAATGATTTATCCTGCAGTCGAGTGACATAGAGTTTGTTCGATTAGTAAGATCTAGCTGTCCATTGACAAGTGCCATGTGGAGATCATCATTCTACTGGTAGGTGGTGCATGGATCTCACTCCGCTGGTTAGCGCCATGTTAAACATTCGTGGTTTGATAAGTGCCACATGGAGATCATGCATTTGGCAAGCACGCGTGGCTAGAGATCTATCGATTACCAATATATGCAATACAACACTTTGAATGTTGGTTCATTGTAGATACCTTTTACAGTTGTACCCAATTAAAAATTGAAATCAAAGGATAGGTGATTTTGAAAAGCTTAGAGATAGATTCGTGATAGCTAGATTCAATTAAAAAATTAAAATCTAATGGAAGACGTTTCTAAAATCCCAAAGATACGATCATATCTTAACTATTGGGCTTAATCACAAAGCTATTCAAATTTATACGCAAACTTATGTCCATCCGTTCAAAATCATCTAGATACATTATTTTTACTATGTATCTAGACATATTGTATAGCTAAGTGCATAGCAAAATCTACGAATGTAGAAAACCAAACGTCTTGTAATTTGGAACGGAGGGAGTAACTAAATACACGTCCTAACAAATTACCGTAACAACGGTACAAATCACATATCACCTCCGCAGCAGGAAAAAGAAATCTGAAAAATCTTAAAGATCTTTCCATTAGTACGTACTACATAAAGTTTGTTTGTCGGCAAGTGCCACTTGGAGGTCGCTCTATTGGCAAGTGCCATGTATACAACAATCCATTGGCAAGTGACTATGTAGTTTTGTTCTCCCTGCGGATCTCATGCGAGTATCATTTTGTCTCTACATGCTATACAGGTTGTCTTACAGGAAGTGTTACTTGGAGATCGATCTGTCATTCACTATCCTAGGTGATTGGACGCGTAGATATTCTTGTATTGTTATTAGGTGTCATGCAATGATTTATCCTGCTGGCGAGTGACATATAGAGTTTGTTCGATTAGTAAGATCTAGCTGTCTATTGACAAGTGCCGTGTCGAGATCATCATTTTATTGGTACGTGGTGCATGGATTTCACTCTACTGGTGTAGTGCCGTGTTAAACATTCGTGGTTTGATAAGTAAGTGCCACATGGAGATCATGCATTTGGTAGGCACTTGTGGCTATAGGTCTATTGGTTACCAATATGTGCAATACAACACTTTGACGGTTGGTTCATCGTAGATATCCTTTTACAGTTGTATCCAATTAAAAATTGAAATTGAAAGATAGGTTATTTTGAAAGCTTAGAGATAGACCCGTGACAGCTAGATTCAATTAAAAAGTTAAAATCTAATGGAAGACGTTTCTAAAATCCCAAAGTTACGATCACATCTTAACTATGAGACTTAGGCCCTGTTCGCGTGCTCTTAAATCCGGCTTGATCCGCTTATTTTTTCATCCAGAACAGTGTTTTTCTCTCACAAATTCCTCCAGCATTCCTCCAAACCATCCAGATTCCTCCAGAATTCAGACAAGCGAACGGACCCTTAATCACTAAGCTATTCAAATTTATACGCAGACTTATATACTCCCTCCGTTCTAAATCATCTAGATATATCATTTTTACTATGTATCTAAACATACTGTATATCTAAGTACATAACAAAATCTATCCATACTGAGAAATCAAAATGTCTTATAATTTTGAATGAAATGAGTAACAAAATATGCATCCTAGTTATTTATTCCATAATAACAAATTATTATAGTAACAACGGCACAGTCTCGTATATCACCACGGCATCATCGAGAAAAAGAAATCTGAAAAATCTTATATAAGAGGCCCCTCCTCTCCCCTCCTCTCGTTGACACCAAAAAAGCTTAACAAAACCATTTCCGGAGGACGAAAAAAAAACCCCCAAAAGCCGAAAGAACTCCTCTCGCTCGAGGGGTGGAAAAGAAGCGGAAGGGGTGACGAGACGAGAGGAAACCCTCGCCTCCGGCACACGCCATGGTGGAGACTCGCCGGAGCTCCGCCGCCGTGGCCGCCGGGAAGCGCCCGTCCCCGTCGCCGTCCTCTTCGTCCGTACCTCCCCCGAAGCGGCCCAAGGTGAGAGCGCCGCCCCCACGCGGATCGAAGAATCTCGCGTCGCCGCCTCCCGATTTGACCTGTCGGCTAACCGATCTGAACCGTGGCCCTGACCAGGCGGAGTCCCCGGGGTCACCGACGGCGTCCGCGCCCGGGAGGGCCGAGGAGGATTCCGTGGCGGGAGCGGCACCCGCGAGGAGCACCGGCTCGGCCGAGGACGTGTCGGCGGTGGCACAGAAAGGTGGGCGGCTTTCGGGCGTTTTGGGATCCTAGGGTTTGGTGGGGGCGGGTTTGGAATCGAGTTCATGGGGTTTTGACGCGTTGGTGCAGATCAAGGAGCGGATAAGCCTTCTTCCGCCGCGGCCGAGAGTTCGAAGAGGAGGAAGGAGCCGGAGCAACAGCAACCCGCAGCACCATGGGCGAAGCTGCTCTCGCAGTGCTCACAGGTGCGGTGACCCTGACGGCAACCCGCCAGCATCCGATTATTGGATAATCTTGGTGTATATGCTGTAGGAATCGAAGTTAAAGATGGCAATTTTTATGCTGGGCTTTGTAAAGATTCAATTTTTAAGCCGTTAGGGGTGAAATTTTGGTCTTCGGATAGCATCTTGCTGTTTGGCTAGATTATTTAGCACGGAATATTACTAGTCTCGCTGTTTAGAGCTTGGTTCTGAGTACAGCTAGGCAGCGTTCTAAAAGGTGCTTTCGGGAGGAGGGAAAAGGGGGTATCAGTCGGCTTACTAGGTTGGGTATATTAACTATCGTATATACTGTTTACTTGTGCTCTTTCAGTCAGCATATTCTCATTAGAAACAGGGGCCAAGCAATACTAGTTCCTGGTAGTATTTGTTATGCCTAGGCTTTTGATTGCAGGAATTTGCAATTCACGGTACCAGATTGCCTGGTTTGATGCTTAGCTCCATTTAGGGCCTACTTTTAGCTGTTCAATGGACATCTGGTTTGGGATACATTGATATTTCTTTTTTCTGTTCTGTAGCTTGTAGGGAACTTGTCCAACATAGCGGCTACCTGTTTTCACTACACGTTCATATGTTCAAGGTTTTGTCATCAGTTAATAAATAGTCACATGTATTGTAGACATGTATATTTAAGGTTACCTAGTGGGCTAAATCCGATCTGTTTGAAGTCATAGTTGTTTGTCTTTGTTGACATGTCTTTCTGTAATGTTGATATCCTGAACTTTTAGAAATCAGTATCTACTTGATGGGACGCATCTTTTGAATTCCTTTGCAATCACCACTGGATCTATTGGTGCTACTTTAACTATTTAGTAGTTGGTCAAGCCCTCACATTTAAAGTAGCTTGTAGGTCAATCTTTGTTGGTTGTTTTTGTTAGCATATATGTTTTTTCTGTAGACGCGTTTATGATTTCAGTTCATAATGATGTAGAACATTGCATGAAACATTCTATTTGTAAATACTGATAGAAAACATATTTATACTACAGACTCCTCACCATCCCATCAGTGTGGCTCAGTTTTCTGTTGGTCAAAGCAAAGCTGTAATTTGTGGCTGAAAGACCAACCTGTTAGCAAAGTGCTTTGCAAGCTGCGTGCGCCTTGAGGTATGTTCTTGTTTTTATGGTTCATATTCATTCCATGGAGTGCATGAACATTCTCAAGTGTCAAGTGTTAGTATGCAAGTATTTCATTGGCTTTGATGGTTAATTTTCAGCAAGGAGGTCCATGTGAGTTAGAAGTTCTAGGGAAGAAGGGTATGGTCCAATTAAATGGAAGGCCCATAAGTCCAGGCACAAAAGTTCCCCTTACAGGGGAGGGATGAAGTCATATTCAGTTCATGCGGAAAGCATGCTTATGTATCCTTTATCATTTCCGGTTCATTCAGTCGTATATTTTTCTTCAGTTACATCTCTTTCTTCATGACTGTAGTATGCACTTTGAGAATGGAGAAATGTCATATATGTTACCTGTTTTTTCCTTTACCGACTCATAGATTTTTCAGCATCCTTTGAATGACAAAGTTCCTAAAACGGTGCCATCATCTGCTGTTAGCCTTCTAGAACCTCCGTTGCTAGCGTAAAAGCGCATCCGTTACAGATAAAGAGAACAGGAGACACTTCAGCTGTTGCTGGTACAGAGATGTTGGCATCTACATCTAATCAGCCGAAGGATGTAGCAGCAGTACCTCCGGCGGCAGCCGGAGAGAACAGCCAAAGAGTAGTGCGGCCAATGGCATCATCTGCTTCTGATAAATCAAAAGGGCGTGCTGTGAGCCCTGATAAGGAATTTGAGAATGGGGAAAATGCTAATGAGGTAAATTCTAACATTGAAGACTCTCCAATGGATGTCGCTGCAGCCCCCATATCTCCTGATGATGCTGCGAACGATACCTGTCAACAAAATGGCTTTGGGCCTGATACTCATCTTGGTGCAGAAATCGGTAAGATTGCAACCTATAAGATAAGGCCAGTTCTGACGATGATTAGAGGATCAACTATATCCGAGTTCGATTTGACTGGTGATCTTTTTAAAGCTCTTGAAGATCAGAGGGATCTCATCAGGGATCTTAACGCTTCAACCAGTGTGCCTCCAAGTAGATGTCAAGCCTTTAAGGATGGGATGAAACAAGGAATTATTAATCCAAGTGATATTGATGTTACCTTTGAGAATTTTCCTTATTATCTCAGGTGATATGCTTTGGATTTGTGTTCCTTTGCTGCTTTGACATTATTCTGTTTATGCAAGATTCTTGTCATGCTGTCTATTTGAAGTTTTGCATATGCATCTGTTATTTATATGCTACATTATAAAAATCTAAGGTAATTTGTCTATTCTTCTTTGGTTAGTTTTGAGGTTGCCAACAATGGTGTATGCTTAGTTCTTAGATTATAGAAATTGGTTGGTTGAGTTTTTCTTAAAGCCATGTAAGGGCTGTCTGCAGACCAACCTTGGGATGCAGCTTGATATTTCTTTTTAGTCATCACATGTCCTTATCTTTGTATTTATCGGTTCTCATCTCATGCAGTGAGAATACAAAGAATGTGCTCTTATCATGTGCATTCATACACTTGGAAAAGAAGGAGTTCATCAAGCAGTTTGCTGAGATTTCATCAATAAATCAGCGAATTTTGTTATCTGGTCCAGCAGGTACTTACTTTGTCTCTGTTTGGAGACCTGTACTTTTTGTTGTTTACCTTTTCCCATGGATTTAAACTGGAGTCACTAGGCCTTGAGTTATGGCAGTTGCCATACTTTTCTCGAACAATGCTAGTGACCATACTTGTTTGATAATTATCCCAGTGCTTGTGCTCTTGTATTCCTCTGATTTTTCTGTGGCGATGCATTTAGGTTCCGAGATTTATCAGGAAACATTGGTAAAGGCACTTGCCAAACATTTTGGTGCTAGACTCCTTGTCGTGGATTCACTTTTGCTGCCTGGGGTAAGCTCATCATGTATATTTATTTACTGCTAAAGAATATTCAGAAGCTAAGAAACCTTGAATCATTGCATGTTCCATTACCATTTTCCTATTCTGAACAAGAAATCCATGTAGGCACCTTCCAAGGATCCAGAATCCCAGAAAGATGTTGGGAAGGCTGATAAATCGGGGGATAAGGCAATTGCTGAGAAGTTTGCAATATATCAGAAGCATCGTTCTTCGTTGGCAGACACTGTTCACTTCAGGAGGCCAGCTGCACCAACTTCCAGTGTGAATGCTGATATTGTGGGAACATCCACTCTGCATTCTGCATCTCTACCGAAACAGGAATCGTCAACAGCTACATCCAAGAGCTATACTTTCAGAGAAGGTTTTGTTAGCTATTCTTTATTACTTAATGTATTGAGTTATATTTTTCTCAAACATGATTTTGCCTCCACATCTTCTGTAGGTGATAGGGTGCGTTATGTGGGTCCAGCTCAGCCACCCTCGTTGTCACAAAGGTACATCGATTGCAAATATTATTCCTGTCTTCAGATGTATCCAATGCTTGTTCCTTAGGCTTCTACATTATTATCATCGGAATTTTGTTCCAGTAGGCAATGCATGCTTTAGTACTGCAAGGAAGTTTATCATTAGTGGTATTAGAGTTTCAGGGACAGATAATTTGTGCCTTAAATTTTGTATAAAGTGGATATTTAATGACTTTTGTCATTCTATTGGTATGAGTTCTGACGAGAGGTATTTTATGTCTTATATAGTCTTTGTGGTGCGAAGGGTAAGGAAGCTAGTCGAACCAACTAGGATCCGTTTAGGTAGTTGGAAGCTAGTCGAGCCAACTAGGATCCGTTTAGGTAGTTGGAATGTAGGGTCGCTTACAGGTAAGTTAAGAGAATTAGTTGATACCGCGACTAGGAGGCGTGTAAATATATTATGCGTTCAAGAGACTAAATGGAAGGTTAGGAAAGGTATAGGAGGTGGACAATACAGTTTCAAGCTTTGGTACACAGGGACAATCGCGAATAGAAATGGAGTAGGAGTTTTGATTGATAAGGGCCTCAAGAATAGTGTGGTGGGAGTGAGAAGGCAAGGAGATAGGATTATCTTAGTCAAGCTTGTCATTGGTGATATGGTCTTGAACGTAATTAGTGCGTATGCCCCCCAAGTAGGCCTCGACGAAAGTGCTAAGCTGGGAAGACTTAGATGGCCTGATTAGAGCTATACCTAGTAGTGAGAAGTTTTTTATAGGAGGAGATCTTAATGGGCATGTAGGTACTACAAGTCAAGGAGTTTCGAGGCGATTCATGGGGGTTTGGGTATGGTAGTAGGAATCGGGGAGAGGGAGGAAGTTCGGACTTTGCGGTAGCTTTTTGACTGATGATAGCCAACACTTTCTTTAGAAAGAGAGAATCTCATCTAGTGACCTTGATGGCGGACAACACTCTAGCTTGATTGACTTTGTCCTCGCAAGAAGAAAGGACAAATGAGCATGCTTGGGTTGCAAGGTGATACGAGGAGTGTGTTGTTTCTCAACATAAGTTTTGGTGGCGGAGACTTTTCGTTTTTTGGTGCGTGCCTGTGGGGATAAACAAGCTAAGATTGAAAGAACAAAGTGGTGGAAACTGAAAGGGGAGACGTCAGAGGTATTCAGGGAAAGGGTTATCAAAGAGGGCTCTTGGAAGGAAGAAGAGGACATAAACAACATGTGGGAGAAGATGGCAACCAACATTCGGAAGGTGGCCTCAGAGGTGTGTGGAGTAACCAAAGGAAGTGGAGGCGAGGCTAAACATACTTAGTGGTGGAACGAGGAAGTCCAAAGGGCTATTAAGGAAGAGAAAGAATGCTATAGGCGCTTGTACCATGACAGGAGTGTGGACAACATAGAGAAGTCCAAGGTGGCAAAGAAGACTGCAAAGCGAGCTGTAAGTGTGGCAAAGGGTAGAGCGTACGAGGATCTTTACCAACATTTGGGTACGAAGGAAGGAGAGAAGGACATTTATAGCATGGCTAGGGTTCGTGAGAGAAAGATAAGGGACTTCAACCAAGTTAAGTGCATTAAGGATGAAAGGAGCATCTCTTGGTGAGGAGGATGAGATCCGACATCGATGGCAAGAGTATTTTGACAAATTGTTCAATGGTGAGAATACGGACACAACCTTTTAGAAGGATGACTCTTTTGATGACACCAATAGGCGCTTTGTGCGGAGAATCCAAGAATATGAGGTCAGAGAGGCGTTGAAAAGGATAAAAAGGAGGTAAGGCGATGGGACCGGATAGTATCCCAATCGAGGTGTGGAGATGTCTAAGGGGACATAGCTATAGTATGGCTAACAAAGTTTGTTCAACCATATTTTTCGATGGAACAAGATGCACAGCGAGTGGAGAAGTATATTGGTACCGATCTACAAGAATAAAGGGATATTCAAAGTTGTACTAATTACCGGGGAATTAAGTTGATGAGCCATACTATGAAGCTATGTGAGAGTTATCGAGCATCGCTTTGAGAGCAATAACGGGGGTCTCTATGAACCAATTTGGTTTCATGCCCGGAAGGTCAACCATGAAAGCTATTTTCTTAATAAGACAAGTTATGGAGCGGTATAGGAGAAGAAGGACCTACACATGGTTTTTTATTGACTTGGAGAAGGCTTATGATAAAATACCAATGAATGTTATGTGGTGGGCTTTGGACAAACATAAAGTCCCAATGAAGCACGTCGGGCTCATGAAGGACATGTACAACAATGTTGTGACTAGTGTTGAACAAGTGATGGAGACACAGATGACTTCTGATTAGGATAGGACTACATCAAGGGTCACTTTGAGCTCTTATCATTTGCCTTAGTGATGGATGAGGTCACAAGGGACATACAGGGACATCCCTTGGTGTATGCTTTTCATGGACGATGTAGTGCTAGTTGATGAAAGTCGGACAGAGTGAATCAGAACTGGAGTTATGGCGGGAGACTTTGGAGTCCAAAGGTTTTAGACTCGAGAGAACTAAAACCGAGTATATGAGATGTGACTTGACACTACTACTCGGGAGGAGGAAGATATTAGTTTGGAAGGTCAAGTAGTGCCTAGGAAGGATACCTTTTCGATATTTAGGATCAATGCTCTGAGAGAGGCGGGGATATTGATGAAGATGTTAGCCATAGAATCAAAGCGGAAGGTGGATGAAGTGGCGCCAAGCATCGGTGTCCTATGTGACAAAAAGGGTACCACAAAAGCTAAAAGGTAAGTTTTATAGGGCGACGATTAGACCTTTATATGTTGTATGGTGTAGAATGTTGGGCCTCTAAAAAGACGACATGTTCAATGCGAGATAAGTGTCATGAAATGCGTATGTTGCGTTGGATTTGCGGTCATACGAGAAGGGATCGAGTTGAACGATGATATACGTGATAGATTATGGGTAGCACCAATTGAAGAAAAGCTTGTCCAACACCGATTGAGATGGTTTGGACATGTCCAACGGAGACCTCCGAGAGGCACCGGTATGTAGTGGAATCCTAAGCCGGGATAGTAATGTGAAGAGAGCGGAGAGGAAGACCGAAGTTAACTTGGGTAGAGGCAATAAAAGGAGACTTGAAAGGATGGAATATACCCAAAGACTTAGCCTTAGATAGGAGTGCTTGGAAACAGCTATTCACGTGTTCAACCTTGATTGCTTTGCTGGTTTCAATTCTAGCCTACCCCAACTTGATTGGGACTTAAAGGCTTTGTTGTTGTTGTTATTGTTGTTGTTGTTGTTGTTGTTGATAGTCTTTGTGGTATGAACTTTTGTGCTACAAACTGATATCAATTAACATTTGCACAAAATCTTATCTTGTCCTCTAGATTCAATCTTGGTGTTACAAGTTGGAGGTGGGTTTCCCCATCCCACTATAACTTTTCCTTTTATCAAGCTGAACTCGGCAAAAAGCCATTCCAAGCGGGACCACCAGTTGCTTGGGCCGCCAATATATTGACAGACTAAGATTAAGTTTGTGAAATACTGTTACGCCCAAACGATTGTTTAGCCCGTTTACTAACCGCTTAAACGATATGTGGTGGTACACCGTTGCCGTTTAATTGGTTGTTTTGCCTGTTTAACAGCCGCTTTTCTAGTTTAAATGACAAGTGACCAACTGTTCACCGTTTAGGATAACATGTCCACCAATTATGCTTGTGCACCTGACACTTCATCATTTTTGAAAGATAAGATAGTCTTTACAAACTATAGTTTACTATGGTTGGATGAAACATTTTCCATGGAATTCGTGTCTGTACAAAGTAGGCCTCTTAAACAGGAAGAGGAATGACTCGAATATGAGACTTCTCATAGGGAACCCACTTATGAGCTTGCTTTTGTACTTATAATCCTGGAAAATGATATATTCTTTCTCCTGATGACTTTTTTTTTTCTAGCAACCATATTCATTCAATCCATACATTTATTCTTATAAATTATTTGATTGATCTCAGGGGACCAAGTTATGGTTATCGAGGCAGAGTGATGCTTGCTTTTGAAGATAATGGATCCTCAAAATTGGAGTCAGATTTGACAAGCAGATCCCTGATGGTAATGATCTTGGCGGTTTGTGCGAGGAAGATCATGGCTTCTTCTGCTCTGGTTAGCTCAAACTTTCAATTCCTCAACTTCTTTGGCAGTTATTTGAACTCTTTATTTGTTGCTGAGGACGCATTATTTCCACAGCTGAATTACTGCGCCCAGACTTTTCTGCGGTGAAGAAGTTGAGAGGCTAGCTATGACCGAGTTAATAGAGGTACTGCTGCTTTTAGGACAAGGAATCCTGTTGAATATGAAGTTAGCACTCTGTATAATAGTATGATTTTCATTTCCTGTCAGGTCATTTCAGAAGAGAACAAAGCTGGACCTCTGATAGTGTTACTTAAGGATGTAGAGAAATCATTCACTGGAGTTACAGAGTCACTTTCATCTTTGAGGAGCAAACTTGAATCGCTTCCATCTGGTGTTCTTGTTATAGGATCCCACACCCAGATGGACAGCCGCAAAGATAAGGTACATGCATTATTCTGATAAACTAGACAAATTTGGATTGTGGGGTTTCAAGTTCTGATGCTATTTTGGCATATTGGTTCCTGCATTCATTTTGTAATTGAACAAGGCCGAGTTATTTTTCTACCTTGCATTGCTGTGATTTTTCACTTCCCCACACCAGGGGTTCTTTGTTGGCATATCCTGTTAACCCGTCTTTAATTTTTATCAGTTACCTCTCTTCAATTCTAGCAAAAGTTTGCTAAGATGGTGAAGTGATGTTTCTTGCAGGCGCATCCTGGAGGTTTTCTTTTCACAAAGTTTGCCAGTAGCAGCCAGACACTTTTTGACCTTTTCCCGGTAAATTTTCTATGTTAGTCTGATGAACCATGATATTGATTTTATCTCCCTGATTTGCATTGTTTTAATTTAATATGATTTTATTAAAATGCAGGATAGCTTTGGTAGCAGGTTGCATGAAAGAAGCAAGGAAAGTCCAAAGGCAATGAAACATCTAAATAAACTTTTCCCAAACAAAATTTCGATCCAGCTTCCACAGGTGATTATATCTCTTGCTACACTCATTTAGTTGTTATTAAGTATATATTTTCTGATCTGAATAATTAAATTTGCAGGATGAAGCTCTACTTACAGATTGGAAGCAGCAGTTGGATCGTGATGTTGAAACACTTAAAGCCAAATCAAATATTGGTAGCATTCGCACGGTAAGCTGCAGAATAGAAGTCAACATTATACTTGTCCCTTGGAACTTGATATTTCCCACTGTCAACTGTATCTTTCTTTAAACTGAAGGGCCTGTGATGCCTGTCTAATATGGCCTGGGTGTATTATTCTCAAATGACCATTTACATGTGTTTGATAGTATTTCTTCTGTTTGATATTTTGTTGCCTGTTTCTGTATGAATGCATATTTTCACCATTTGTATGATTATGCAATTATTTTATGTCTATATATGCTTTTGCTGTTAATATGGTTGAAAGCATCAAATATCCTCATAGAAGTAACTTTTGATATAGCCATTTAACCAAAATGTCTGGCCTTGGGCCTTTCATGGTTACTTTAAGCTTCTACTTTCCGTGGTTACTTATGATTAACGAAGCAGACCATTATATGATTCTTCACTTTCTCTGTAATGCAGTTTCTGAGCCGCAATGGAATTGAATGCAATGATCTTGAAGAATTATTCATCAAAGACCAATCACTGAGTAATGAAAGTGAGTACTTTTGTTTTGGTTTGTTCACATTTCATCTAAAGAGTTTCAGTTTAAACTTTTCTCCTCCAACCTTTCTTAGATGTGGACAAGATTGTTGGGTACGCAGTGAGTTATCACCTTAAGCACAATAAAATTGAAACGTCCAACTCCAAGGATGCTAAACTTGTACTCACAAGTGAAAGGTAAAAAAGTTTTTTCTTATTGAAAACTATTTGTCCTATGTTTCCTTTCAAGTCAATTCTGAGTGGATTTTGAATCATTTATTTACTTGACAGCCTTAAGCATGGGCTCAACATGCTGCAAAGCATGCAAAGTGATAACAAGAGCTCCAAAAATCACTGAAGGTACACTCTCCCACTTATTGCCATGCTTTCTGGTGATTCCTCAACTTAGTTGCTGAACACTATACTTATAAATCCTTTTTCTCAGGATGTTGTCACAGAGAATGAGTTTGAGAAAAGGCTTTTGGCGGATGTTATACCACCTAATGACATTGGAGTTACCTTTGATGATATTGGAGCCTTGGAGAATGTAAAGGACACGTTAAAGGAGCTGGTGATGCTCCTTTACAAAGACCTGAATTGTTCTGCAAAGGGCAGTTAACAAAGGTAGTATCATAATGCCTAATTATGCTTGAAATCGCTTACATGGGGTGTCAGAGTGTTCTTTCCAACTGTAGGGTTGCCCATGTGGTTGATATTTTTTCAAGCGTTGAATCCACGATCTAAGAACCATTTTTAATCATTTTGCTTTGAACTGAGCTAAGATACAGTCATGCCTTTTGCCATTTCATAGTATTGCTTGAATATTTGTGAAATAATTTGCATGAATGCCAAGATAAAATCTCCAAGGAGCATCAGTTTTCTTTGGTCTTCCAGAGTTATCTGAGTCACTAGTCCTCTAGTTAATTTGGCAGTATTGTGTCTATAAGGTTTTTCACCTTTCTAAAGAGCGGGAAAATACTTGGGGGGACTAAGATTGAGGCTTATGGATTAGTTGGTGTGTAGCCTGATGGAAATGTCACGAGCTGACTCTTCACATGAACTCTTGGCTTCCAGTGATTCCTTACCTCTTTATTTATATACTGTATTTAATAATGTGTTATTACTTAGTATTAGTTAATCTTATTAGATATGTTGGAGTTTTAAAACTTCATTTGTAGATTATCTTGATTTACTATGGTCATGATCTTATAACTGCCTCCTCAATTCATTCTTTGCAGCCTTGCAAGGGGATATTGCTTTTCGGACCTCCTGGCACTGGGAAAACTATGCTTGCCAAAGCAGTAGCAACTGAAGCAGGTGCTAATTTCATCAATATATCAATGTCGAGCATTACATCGAAGGTATTATTTCACCTAATGGGCAACTGGTGAGGTTCACTAGTGTCTCAAGGCTAACCAGTGGTTCATTTACTTTTCAGTGGTTTTGGTGAAGGAGAGAAGTATGTAAAGGCTGTTTTCTCACTAGCAAGTAAAATAGCCCCCAGTGTTATATTTATTGATGAGGTATGCAAGCGCACAAGTTTACATTAGTAACCACTATCGGTACAGTGTATACCAACTGTTTTGACTTTCTGCAGGTCGATAGTATGCTAGGAAGGAGAAAATCCAGGGGAGCATGAAGCGATGCATAAGATGAAGAATGAATTTATGGTAAATTGGGATGGGTTCTGCACTAAAGATAAGGAGCGTGTGCTTGTTCTTGGTGCTACAAATAGACCGTTTGATCTGGACGAGGCTGTGATTAGGAGGTTCCCCATGCAGGTGATTATTGGTCCATTCAATGGGGCAGGATTACCCAGTTGGGTAAACCGTAGTTTTGTTCAGTGGGCTATGATTATCTAATTATTTGCTGTTGGGTAGCAATAGTTTTGTTTGCTTGGGTGGGATTATCAAATTGCTGTTGGTTCCATATTTATCACCATTTTACTCAATTGTTTCAGGTTAATGGTAAACTTACCTGATGCATCAAATAGAGAGAAAATTCTAAAAGTAATTTTGGCAAAAGAAGAGCTGGGATCGGATGTTGATCTGGACTCACTTGCCAATATGACTGATGGTTATTCAGGAAGCGACCTTAAGGTATGTTTGCTTTTTATGCATGCAATTGCTAGAAACCCTTTGCATGGTTTTCACTGAGTTTGTGCTTTCAGAATCTGTGTGTGACATGCAGCGCATTATCCCATTCGAGAAATTCTGGAGAAGGAAAAGAAGGTACACAATGTTGTCTCTGCTTTTGGTTGCTCTGTTTGCACTTGGCAGTACGGTTATCCTTTGCAGCAGGGAGCAGTGATGTGTGAATTATGCATTTTACTGTTGAATCATTAATATTGGGTTCAATTCCATTGTATGCAGGAGAAGAATTTGGCTAAAACAGAAGGTAGGCCAGAGCCTGCATTGTATGGAAGCGAGGACATCCGTCCTCTTAGCATAGATGACTTCAAATCTGCCCATGAGCAGGTGAGAACACCAAATTTGCCTCCATTTCATATCTCCTTCTGACTTTCTCTACAACCTACATTCTTGTTTCTAGAGCAGCATCCTAACCTCTTTTTACTCACTGCAGGTTTACATAGCGTTTTGTCTGATTCAGCAAACATGAACGAGCTTCTTCAATGGAATGACCTGTATGGTGAAGGCGGGTCAAGGAAGAAGAAAGCGCTGAGCTACTTCATGTGATGGTGAGAGCATAAAATCCGAAGGATCACAACCTTGCCATAAAATCAGAAGGATCACAGTTGCGCCTTATTGTACAGCCACCATAGTACACCCCATGGCATGTGCGTCTCATGCCGACTTGGCGGGCCCCAAATCCAGTCGGGCTTTTTCCTCCTCCCCCAAAGTAGCAGTGGCTGGCCGGCTGTCGTCCCCTCCGCCTGGTGTAATTAAAACTGTGTGTACCGAGTCGAGTTCGTTTACCAGCTGTTTGAGGTTCCAGAGTTAAGATTTAAAATTAAAATGGTGCCATTGCCCTCCTCCAACCTCCCTTAAGTCCTCCCTAAGTTAACTTTGTTGCGGCCATGGTCCTTGGACTCTGGATATAGGTCTTTGTGTACCCCTGTACATGCAAAATGAAGGGATATGAAATAAGAACATCTTCATCCTGTTGTTGACAGTATGGTACATACTAAATTTTTGATAGCTGACTGGCGATGAATTGGATCAGTGCCAACATAAGAATTATGCAAGGGTGCCTGTCCTGCCATTGAAATTTGTGTGTATGGCGAGTGGATTGGGTATTGTGAGATGAATGGCATGACAGCACATGGATTTTTTATGCGTCTCCTGTTGTCTTCCAATTGCGAAATGCAAAGGAGCAAACGTCCAGTATAACGAACTTACCGTCATTTTGTCTATTTACCGATTCACTTTATTATTAGAACAAAAAAAAAAAAAAAATACAGGCAGAGCTGAATTTTCCGTGAACTTGGTTCTCTTGAATGATGCACCTCTGTTTCGTAGCACTCATAATGCAAGAGTTGCGACTATTTCATTGGTAATATTGTTTTCTCCGTCTTTGAATAATGCGACAAAGTCTTTTCATAGCTCTAAATGTTGCAATAAGCTCAGTCTTTTCATAGCTCCTTATGGATAGACTAAACACAAGGAACATCCTAAAGAGGAAGAAGCACAAGCTAGAAGGCACAAAAACTATAAGGGTCTGATTGAGCGTGATATATTGGATGGCTGGCATTGAATTGGGTACCAATACCAAATTAGCCTAGTATTGAAAATGAGCTACAATACCAAATAAGATGTTTGGACGTAGATGAAATTGCTATTTGGAATCAAGGACATGGCAAATACCAAATAAATGTTTGGATGTACATATCTCGTCGAATTGAATGACTCGCCTTCATCCCATCTGAGCCCGTGGCCATTGGCGTGGCCGGCCTTTCCACGCCCCACCCCAGGGTGCACCCTACTCATGAGGAGAAGGAGCGTGTGGCCGGGCCGCGGCGGAGAACCTGTTGCCGTTGCTGAAGACATGACGGCCAGCGCATGGCGAGGTACGCCCGTGCCCATCCTGGTGGCGTCTTGCTTGGCCCGTGAAAGCAATGGCCGAGGGACGCCAGACGCTACCGCTGCCCCACCCAGCAGCCATGGCGCTGCCAAGCGCCTAATGTGAAGCCTCGGTGTGCGTGCCGAAGCCGCGAAAGACGAAAGGAGGAGAGGAGGCATCGCCCGGCCAAGGGCCACAAGGAACAACACCACCAGCTGGATCGCCCGGAAGAAGGACATGTGCATCATCGTCATGTGGGGAGCGAGCGAGGTCGAGGCCGCTTTGCCCACGCCATCGGCCGGCGGCGCCGCCAAAATCTCCATCGTCGGGCCCATGCCCTTCATTCTTTCTTCTACTGGATCTTTTGGACCGGAATAACGAGGGCGAGTTCTTGGCTACTCAACGTGAAAGAGGGGATCCTAGATCCGGTACATGAGACCGCCCGGCGGTGGGATCCGAGCACCTATAGTGGTGGCCTCGAGGAAGAAGCGCTCGTCTCGGCTGAGAGTCCCTCATATGCGGCGTGGCGGACTCGAGGAAGAACCGCTCGGGCTCCTAGATCATTGTCGAGCTTGGGAAGAAGGAGGATCCACACCTCACGACATGGGGAAGAAGGAGAGAGCGGCGAGCTTGACCGGTGGGGAGGGGGAGGGGTGGAGGGCGCTCACGGGAGGCGTTGGGCAGTGTGAGCCAGTTGCGGCGGGGAGGGCAGCGAGGGCAGCCGGTGAGGGAACGTCGGGCCGGCGCGAGAGTTGGCCGTGAAGGCTTGAGAGGAAATGTCTGAGCCAGCAGGGAGGAAGCGTCGGGCATTGGGGTTGCAATTGGGAGAGGTCATTGGGGTCATCGGAAGCTCGGTCATTGGGGTTGCAATTGGGAGAGGTCATTGGGGTTGCAATTGGGAGAGGTCATCGGAGCCGTGAGAGGAAGCGTGCACCCAATATAGAGCCCACCCTCTCGTATTGGGAGAGGTCACCTCCTAGTTCTAGTCCAATACCAAGGCATTGGGGTTGCAATTCTAAATCTCAATGCCATGGACATCCAAACACCAGAATTAAAGGAAACATGATTTCAATTCCCAATTCCGAGGCTCCAATATCTATATCCAAACGGGGTATAATTGTATTCTATGCAAGCAACAACGTTGAAGAAACTGCTATTCTTTAGCTATCCCTTCAGTCAAGCCTGCTGGCTATGCTTAGGGATTCATTGGGACTTACAGAGAGATTTTTTTTCCAAATGATGAAGCAGGCAAAACAACAGTTTCAACACTCCATGGAGATTTTCATCATTGCTGCTTGGCAGATTTAGAAGCAAAGAAACAACTTCATCTTTGATAGGGCTGTCCTTCCTGGAGTCTTCTTTTGCAAAGAGGCCAGGTTACGGGCTTTTAGACTTGAACTTATCAGCACTCATTTTAGACTTGAATCTATATACAAAGAAGGAACTCAAGACATTTGTCTTTCACGGACTTGTTACATCGAACTTATCAAAGACTTATTTTCAGCCATGGAACAATATTTTTCTCTCACAACAAATCAGCATCAACATTAGCAAAAGCAGCTTGAACTTCCTTGAGCTTGCCTCCACTGTTCTTTTCTTTTGTGCTTTGGCTTGATTAAAGCCTCCTTTTTGCATATATAGACTTTGCTATGCACTTAGATATATATTATGTTTAAATACATGGTTCTGATAATATATCTAGAAAAATCAAAACGTCTTTATAATTTGGAGCGGAAGAATAATAAAACTATAAAGTGAGGGGCTTCCTTCTTTCTTATTTTACGTTAAAAAATGTAAGCTGATGAGCTGGTAGCCTTTTTTTTTTTGGGTTAAGAGAAGAGACCATATAGATGGTCGTGTGGTTGAGCTGATGAGCTCCGATGGCTGTCAAATTAATTATTTGCCTGTAGAATGCGGGAAGGTTAGCTGCATGCTGTGCTTAATTACTTGCAAACTGTAATTTAGGGGCGGAGTCATCCCGCGTTAGAACCAAAACCGCTAGAACTGGGTCCTTCCCAAAAACAAGAAAGCCTCCCCGCGTGGCTCTGCGGCTTGCTCTGGCGGGTGGCTGGCGACGCCGTAGCCTGCTCCGACGCGACGCGGGATCGGGAGCCGGAGGCCGCTGGTGGACCGGACGAACTTCGCTGCTTGGGGGATTGGCCGAATCGCTCAGCACCTCGCCGTGTGCTTTGGAAGACGACGGGGATTTTATATTTTACTATTATAAAGATGGTCACTCATCCGAATATCACTCTTAGGACGACACTTCCAACTTTGCAGGATGAGAAGTTTTGTGCTATGATTTATCACTTTTACTGCGATGTGGCATGCCACGCTTTCTCGTCTGTTGGTGCCTAGTCAAGCATGAGCACGTGAAATATCGTTACTACTCCAGCCTTTCTCCTCTCTCCATCCTCGACAAAATGGTCCCGCGGCTTTTTTTATCAACGCCAGGTGGGCCCCACTAGTCAGCTTCATCTTCCAACTCTAGCACCTGGATGGGAGATAGACCGCCATGCCATGGCGAGCTCCATCGGGCCTCAAAGGCGTGGATGTGGCATGCACCACAGGCTCGGCATGGCCTTCACGCCCAGCCTCATGAGCAACCTGCTCCCCATGCGAGGTCCCAGCCCAGGTGAGCCACCACCTCGGCCTCCCTCTCCAGCAGAAGTTGCTCACATGCGTGGCATGCGAGGTCTTGGCGGAGCTGTTGTTCGTGACGCGCGCCGACGAGGCCAGGGGCTACTCAGCGCCCGCTTGCAAGGCAGCTGGGAGGCTCCTCGCGCCCAGCATGGCGAGGGGCCAGTAGATGCTGTTACCATGGCCTCCTCCCTCTCGGCTTCCTCATCTGCGTCTTGCTCGAGCTCCGTCAGAAGCCCAGGTCCCCACTTGCCAGCCACACCTCCTCCTCCGCTAAGCTGTGTGTCTTTGCTCCATCCTCCGCGATCTCTTGCCCACAGGATCGAAGAGTAGCAACCGTGGAGAACAGAAGCCACGGTTTGGAAGGCGAAGGTGACTAGTGGGACCCACTGGCGGTGGCAGGTGCCACGCGGACCCAGATAACCGGGATGGAGAGAGAGAGGAGCAAGGCGGGGGTAGTAGCGACATTTCATGTGCTCAACATGTCGACAAAGGCACGTCATCGTAATCGAGCTAGCGTGGCATGCCACATGCATAAAAGTAGTAAATCTAAAACTAAAACTTCTCTCATCTAGTAAAGTTATAAGTGTCATCCTAAGAGTGATATTTGAATGAGTGTCAATCTTTATAATGGTAAAAATATAAAAGCTCGAAGACGACGAGGTAGGGTGGACGCCCACGCCCACCAGCTGTTCGACGTTTTGGTTCGCCGGGACGATAAAAGTTGCAGGTATTTTGGCTGAGCTTTGTCTTCTTGTTTAGTTTCCGGTGAGTGTGTGCCTGGGCTGGGGCTCCTTCGGAATCTCTGTTGCGTAGCTCAAAGGAGCTCTGTACGAGCGTACACTCAGTTATTCTGTGGGTGTTTTGCATAGTTCCCTTGCTGTTAATGTGGTGAGTGCCTGGAGTTGGAGCATTGTAGGTGCTCAGCTCTTCGGTCTTAACTTAAGTTTTTTGCCCCATGAGGCCTTGTTCGGTTGTTGGGGGGTTTGTTTCCCCACTGAGGTCCAATCCTGCAGGGTTAGAGTGGACCCCTGTC